TGATCAGTGAGTCCCTGGGACTCGCTGCAGGTAAACTGTAAAATGATCACTGAGAGATTACCGCTTTTTCTGCAGTCAGTGATTGACTTCTATGCAAAGTCATTTCTCAACTTGTGTTCCGTGCCATGTCATGCCTGTTGAGTGTTGATTTACTTCATATTAAGAAACTACTGCACTAAAACATTAATTCATAAATGTATATCATATGATTTTATTTTTTTTTCTCAGTATAAATAACATGTACCCTGACTGTTCTACTCTTTGAATAAAATCACTTCATTCAAGCGTTAGGGAGTGCTAAGGGTTATGATGGAGGGGGATTGATAATCACGAGGACCTGCCAAGTGGTATGATAGCATTGTTTTATACATGTCCTTGGCTAGGCCTCAGTTTCAAAATCAGTCCTTGGTCCTTGGCCTTGGCCTCGGAAGCAAGTCCTTGGTCCTTGGCCTTGGCCTTGGAAGTCAATTCCTTGGCCTTGGCCTCGGCCTTGGGAGTCAAGTCCTTGGCCTTGGCCTTGGCCTCGGGTTGCCGGTCCTTGGACACATCCCTGCCCTCTACAGGACATGTTTAACATCAAAAGAGGAACTGTTATCTCAAGTATCTGTGTTCCTGCCATCACACCAAATGGTGGGTAGTGGTGGTCTGGTCTCACCTCACCACTCCCAACTTCTTCCAGCCACACCGGGTCAGATGACATGTTACTTTCTTTGTTTCTGGGATTTGCATGAGAGGCGTTCCTCCCCGCCTCTCATTATCATATTGTCTCTATATAATCTCATGAATGTGTTTCTTCTACGCTTCCTGATTCAAATCTGGACCCTTCAGGAGCCCGAATCGATTCGTAAACTGCAGAAAAATAAATTAAACCCTTCGAAAGAACTGTTCATAGCCTCCAGCCTTTATTTGAATTACCAACATTCTCCTCGTCCGAAATTCAACGAACACGTGGGGAAAGAGGAGGCCGCTCTTCCCCCAACAGAGTCTATGGACAGTGGACGTGTATCGGCCCGCCTGGACACAGAGCTTTTCTGCATCATGATTGGATGATCTGTCTGAGGCTGAGTCTCCTTTTTGATTAACAGCGAAATGAGCCAATCACCGATCTTTTGGTGAAGGCATCTATGGGAGCATTTTTCAATTCTCATTCTGTTCTGAGTTGAACTGGAGACTTCTCAACATCTTAGCGACACTCTCTTTGTTGAAAGCAACAAGCGACAAATTAATCTTTTATTTCTGGTGGGTTTTATTGTAGCTGCTTGTGTTCGCAGACTGACGTATATCACCACAGGGTCACAGGTCATTTTCTTGAAAAGGAAAGGAGAGTAGAATTCACGTATAAATAAACAGACACATTTTATGATGTAGGCCGAAATTGACCTTCCCCTCCTTGACAGATCAGCATCCGCCACTGCTCTGCACCCATCTGCCCTCGGTTGTAAATTTGGCTTTCCTAATCCTCAAACATTCTTGTTTATGGTCTTTCCTCTCTTTATTTCTTCTCCCCTAGCGAAGGCTGTCTTTGTATTTGTGGTCATTTCACGCGTACTTTTCTATTATTTAAAACATTTTCCTAGGATTTCGTTTCTCAATTATCGGTTGATGCTAATTGCTCTGTCTGAATCACAAGTCTGGTGTGTCACTGTCTGTGATACAGGGGTCTCTTTTTCTCATTTCTACACCTTTATTTATATATTATAATATTTGGAACTCGCATGGCGAGTATTCTTTAACTTCTGTTGAAATGGCCCATTTACATCTCCATCTTCCTGCAGGCCAGAGGGAATCTTAAATACAGTTGTCATTCTCACTCTGTACTCCTCAAAAAGCTCATCATCCGATATACGCAACATTAATTGTTCTTTTTCCTTTTCTGCGTGTTCTTTATTTTTCTTTTCACATTCATTTTCCTTTCTTATTTTGTCTTCATTCTCTTTTTGTTTCCTGTCTCCCTCTTCTCTTTCTGAGGCGATTTTTATCCAATATTCTGTTTCCTGAAAATATTTTTTCTTCATCTCTTTAGGATTTTTGTTCAGCTTTTTTATGATTGATTCCTGAAACACAGCTATTTTCTGTGGATTTAACTGACCATTGAAGTTATATTTAGAGTTCCATCCATCCATCTTTCGAATCTCTTGATCCTCACCAGGGCCGCGGGGGGTGCTGGAGCCTATCCCAGCAGTCTTCGGGCAGTAGGCGGGGGACACCCTGAATCGGTTGCCAGCCAATCGCAAGGCACACAGAGACGAACAACCAACCACGCCCACATTCACACCTAGGGACAATTCAGAGTGTTCAATCAGCCTACCGTGCATGTTTTTGGAATGTGGGAGGAAACCGGAGTACCCGGAGAAAACCCACGCAGGCCCGGGGAGAACATGCAAACTCCACACAGGGAGGCCGGAGCTGGAATTGAACCCGGTACCCCTGCACTGTGAAGTCGACGTGCTAACCACTGGACTACCGGGCCGCCATTTAGAGTTCCATTAATCCAAATATTTTATTTTATTTAGAGTTCCATTTATCCAAATATTTTATTTTGTCAAGATCCTGTTTCTCTACATATTTCCAATCCTTACTCTGGAGTGTATCCCTGTGTTTAATTTTAAGACTTCCTTTCCCCATTTTATCCCAATTTGGTCCAGTATATCCCCACATAGGGTGTACTCTAATAACTGGATTGGATTTTTATCAGCAGGACAGCAATTCTAATTCCCTATTGTGGTAATTCTCACTTCAAGCTTTTCAGGTGGAGAATTTTTGCCTATTGCATCCACAACAGTCTGCTGTTTAAATTCCTATTCTATTACATGGGATAAAATACCGAGTGGTATTTATAATCCCCAATCACACTGTACATTCACACAGGGAACGGTTTGCGCAAACATTCACACACGGGATTTAAGTGTACACGGTACTTCGCTGTCTTCTCTTTTCCACAGAATTTCTCAGACTCTGCTATTTATCATTTACCACCTACCATTGACTAGTATTCGTAGGGTTTTAAACACGCGCAATGAACACTCGTCATTCGCCTTTTCCAAAAACAATGCTTACCCTCCGAGTCCTCTCTCTTCGGTCCCCTCAGTCGTTGGAAGCCCAGAAAACCGGTTCCAGAAAAGGATTATTGATGCCGTGGCCACGGTCTTCACCGGTGTCGTCCCGTCCTCCGGAACTCCTCAGACTTTGGAGTCCGCAATTTTCTGCGTCGGAATGTCGTCAACCTTTTGGTCCCAGCCCCTCGCTGAGGTCCAGTTCACCTCACCTGCTGGAATCTTCTAGTATATTGACATCCGTCTGGAAGGACCAATTAAATGATAGGTTAATGCAGGTAATCTGACGCTAAGAACACATCAGGAACAGGAAGACTCAGGAGGCAGACATGGTTGTGTTTCTTGCAAGAGAGAGTTCGCTAAAACATGTCTCGGTTCACAATCTCGGAGCAGCTCTCCAGCTAGCTCTGCCATGTAAACCGTTTCAGGTTCCGCGGCAACTCTGAAGAGACCGCATTTGTCTCCTTGCATTTATTGGAAGGATGTCCCTGATACACGATCTTCTAATGGGTGTGGGGAGTATTTTCACATTCCACAACAGTTTCAGAATAGGAGACTTTGAACGAGAACACACAGTTCATTCCTGAGATGTTAGACGGCTCCTGCTGGAGATCTCACTCTGGAACAGGTTTTAAAGTTACACAGAGAGTAAATATGGGATAACAGAATTACATTCATTCCAACAATCATCTACAAAGAGCACTAATGTATGAGACAACTGGTGCCGTGATTGGTCGAAAGCTGCAGGACACTTTTTCTGCCACACTGCACCGCGTCAACAGGCTGTACAACCTCAAGTTTGGCTGGCATGATCCGAAAGGTGATCTCACACGTGCCTTATATGATTGACACTCTTGTGATGCAGGAGCTGCAGGACACATGAGTGCTCACAAGTTGTAATCTCAGGCCTTCTTGAGCGCTGACCGCTGAGGGTACCTTGCTCTTATTTCTACAGATTCCCAGAGGAATTTTGCAAGAGCTCAAGTCACCATTTGCATCACCGAGAAGTCATGCAAGATGCCTTTGCCTACTTTTATTTGCTGATGAGCGTCAAGCAGCAAGCTAACATCTCAAAAATGTTTGACGCTGCGGACAAGGACCACTCTGGCGTTCTGTCTAAGAGCAGGATTCAAGCTTTGGCCACAAGGATCCATAAACAGCCGCTCAAACCCGAGGTGGTCTGTTCATGAGACATTTCATGGCCAAAAGTAATTTGGATTGAATGAGTCATCCGTTATTCAGTGGTTACTTCTAGGACTTGATAAGGTTGAAGAATCAGTTGAATGACTGCTCAAAAACTCTTCCAAATGACGTCAGGGAGCTGAAACCCAATCAGGAGGTCTACCATGATCAAAAGATGGTCGGCATTTCGGGTCATAAGAAAACCCCTAAATTAGTAGTTACTCGCCTGTCCAAATAACATTTCAGTCCATGATAATAATTCAATGGTTTCCTTGTCTACAGTTTCAGGTCACTAAAGAACTCATCATGAACTGCAAACCTATCATAGATCGCATTCGCAGTACCTTTCCAGACCAGAAGAAGTACAAGTGAGAGCTCCTCCGACAACGTGTTGAGATCGACATCACCACGTTTCTTCTGCTGACAAGTCAACTTCCCAACAGGTATCAGGTCATGGGGAAGGAGGTACATTTCAAATTGCTTCACAATGACGTAGCTGAGGCGGATCGCATATTTGATGACGTTCGTAAATGACCAAGGTAGGAAGAACCCTCAAAGCATTCAAAATCAATTCAGTTCTTGGCTTTGGAATGAATCGCTTCTGCACTTATTCCAACAGGAAGTTCATCTGCATAAACGATGACCTTGACCACACCCAAAGCACTGCTCAGCAAGTGCAAACAAAGTTGGTGAAATTTTACCAATCCATGTTCCCGCGGCCGTCCCAGTTTGAGCTCCCCAAAGGCACGTCCAACAGGTTCCTGCACATGGATGAGCATCTTTAAGGGATTGGGTTAGGTGTATCACGATAGATTATGGTCATACCTGACATGTTCCTACAAACTAAATCAATGTGTGCAAGAGGAATTGCTAATTCTTTTTCTTGCTGGCTCTCGACGAAGGCGGACGCTTTTCTGCTCAGCTCCTGTCCGACCCCACCCTCTCCTTGCTCGCCACTCAGTCTACGTGCTGTCTGTGTCTAACTTTCCTAGCCTCCTATCGTACTTTCACCCGAAGAACAAACCATGGAATTGGTTGGCTGGTCTCTCGATGCAATCGAAAAAATTTTCTCGACGAGAAGAGCAGGCAGTGGGGAGCCTACTTGCCCCTCGGGGACATTTGCTGCCGGATACGCCCTTGATCCATGGAGAAAGTGGAGAATGGTGTGCCTGTCAATACTGTCCGTTGAGGATGTGGAAGACATCTACATTATTGGCCTTCTGATAACATGTGGAGTGAAATTTCTAATTGTCAAATTCAAATGTCTTCAAATAACCAACGCCCGAAGGCTATTGTTGTCATTTTTTTGCACACCACTTCATTTGCCGTTTTTATCTGTTGTTTCACAAGTAGAAACAATAATGCGGGTGTGACTGCTGGACACAATGTGTTAAAAATGTCTGAATTCAAACCGACGATGTCATCTCAATATACGTCAGCGCCTGATGTGAGCCCCCATACACGCAGGTTGTGTAAGAGTGGAGTCGGAACCGGTCCGACCGGTTTCAAGAGGTTTCTGGATTTCCGCCATGTATGTAGATGCAGTAATTGTACATCACTCCATTGCAGGTGCAAATTAATCTTGGAAAGGTGTGTGAAGTTCCTGTCTCACGTTGTGCTTCAGGAAGCACCCGCGAGTGACAGAGAACCGGGTGACAACCCTGCCACAAACAGCGCAAACCATTGGCGGTTTCACAGGTCGGGAAGGGGTGGCTGCTGCCACCTTTACCAAATGCCTTGCCACCCCAGTTGCCACCACTACCGTTGACCGTGAATCTATCAAGACAAAATGTTTATTTAAAAAAAAAAATCATCACATTTTTCTCCATAGTGTGCATAAAAAGTATGTTTAGAATTCACTCCCAGTCAGTCGATGGCCCCCCCGACCCCTGCTTTTGAGAAGAAATGGTTGCTTCCGACTGAGCCACCCATTTAAAAAAAACAGAGATTGCTCTAATTTTAATATGTTCAACGGGTCTGTCAAGTGTGACAACCTAAGTGAGTAAGTTAGTGTGTCGCAGAGTCTTTTGGCGTTGAATGAGGCGCTGTGGCAGGTGCAACGTAATCCATCCTACATCCAGGTTTGCTGCCTGGCGAGACGAATGCAATCCTCATGGTCAAATGCTTGTCAGAATTGTGTCTCTTCAGTTAAGACATATCCAACGATGTGCTCTCTCAGGACTCATGGCAGGCGGCCGAATGATACGCAGGCTATTTCGGAGGCTGCCATACATCTGTCTTCGTCGCCGATACAAAGTCGTAGTCTGCTGTGCAACCCTCATTCTCGTGATGCTGCGCCTTCATCGCATGGCAGAGGTGAGTTGCCTCTGGCTTCTTTGGCCCAAAATGTCTCAGTGTCAATTTATTTGAAGACATGTTGCCCAAAACTGACGCGGTGACCAGCGTTCTCGGCTGTTGAAACAATCTGCGTATAATTATGATTTGCGGTGGAAGGATATTTGTAAAGAAACTCATCGTTTTCAAGAGACATTTGTGATCCGCCAAAGCAAAATGAGTCGAAACATTCCGAGATGAAACGTAATGTTGCTGAAGTATGTGAGAACTTTCGAAATTTAAATTTAAAAATAACAACAACATGTACTCTACAGTTTAACACCAGCTAATCTGCTGCGTTTTACAAGTGAGTAGAGGCAATTAAAGTGTACAAAATCACACGGACAATGCAAGTCGTCACCAGACGTGATTCTCATGTGTGCAGCGAGAGAAACTGCAGAGCGAGGACTGGTCTCACCAGTCGAATGAGGTTCCCAAAGAAGACAAGAAGGTGGATAAATGTACATCATTCCACAGCAGGTGAGGAATCAGCCCACGGCGTTTTCTCAACTCCACTGAATAGTGCACTTCAACAACAATGTCAGAGAGTGCTCTCAATATGATTAAACAACAAGTCAAACCACAAGAAGAGCTCCTTTCACATTGACATCGTCCGAGTGGCTCGATTTCTTCTCCTCTGGCAGAGAGTGTACACCCATTCCCATCGATGTGGTGTACACGTGGGTTAATGGCACAGACGTGAGCCTACAGAGTGACCTGATGGTGGCCAAAGAGCAACTGGATGCAGAAGAAGCACTTCGGAGGTGGGTGAGGAGAGGAGAGCATGATTGCCCCGCATGCAACACATTAAAAAATGTGAACGATAGGGGATGATTGCGTAACCGGCAAAACCAAGGGCCAGACAGGGCATTGTGGACGTGGATGAGCAGACAATACCCAAGGTCGGGGCTGGCCGTACCCAAATGTACGCCTCCCACGCCACCCTGAATATGCACCTGACACATGTATGAGAACGAGGTAAGGCGACGCGCTTCCAAACCGGGGAGGTGCCAATTGCAAGCGCGAATGCCAGCGGGAAACACTAATTTTTCGACTTTTTCCTTGCCTAAATCAAACTTTTCATGGTGTCTGAACTTCATTGAGGAGAGAAAAACAGATTTTCTTTCTTGTTTCCAGTGTGAAGCCAGAATGCCCACTGTCTCAATGCATC